CAAAGATCAGATTCAGATCTCCAAATGTATAATGGTATAGAAACAGCTCTACCCTAAAGATACATCTGTAATTCCGTAGTGTAAGGGCTTTGCTCCTCTACTGCACACTCCTCAAGTAAGAATTTCTATTTCTAAGTTCTTTCTGAAAAATTCTTCACCTCTAACCTTGACATTCAGTGCAAAGTAGTACAGCTTTTCTGTGTAATAAAAGACTGGATTTTTAATAAATATATATATATATATACATATAAAGTAAATTTAAAAAAATTGTTATATCTTCAGTAGTTTTCATTTGAAGCACTTACAGTTTATTAAGAATAAAATTACTATCAAAAGTCATATGTTTAAGACACTGATATATTAAGGAAAAATCAAATGCATCTTCTATACAAAAATCCACTTAACAGAAGTATTAGTATTACACGTTCTGCTTACAGATGCAATTTGCATAAAAGTATTTTACCTCCTCCTAGAATTCAGAGACAGTAGGAAGTCTGACTACGTATTTGTAGAAAACTTATCTTAAATAATAATAATTTCAAAGAATTAACTTGTTGAAGAATGACAGCTTTGTGTTGCTACATTTGGTATTCAGCAAGCAGTCATTCAGTCACAGCTACCAATGCTGACTGATAAATGTTCAAAAGAGCCTAGAAGAATATTGACAAACCCTCAACTTGTGTGTAGTATGGAGATAAGGATACCAAAATTATATTTACTTATGCTCCTAGTGTAGCATGAAGCTTCACAAAATAGTTAAGCTGGTTAGTTTTTTTCTACTTGTGTGTGGGTTGTTTTTGTTTTGTTTTTTAAATTTACTGCTATGTACTGTGAGTTTCAACTAGTGTTCAGTGATTCAGTGCTGGATAAAATTACTAATCTCCATGAGGGTGGATGGAGACTGAAGAAAGAAAACAAACTACCAACAAGAGTTTTCCACCTCAAGAACCAATCCCCATCCTCTATTAAAAACAAAAAGGGGAGGGTGGTTGTTGCATTGCCTCCTACGGGACTGACCTAAAACCAGGCCAGGACCAAATGACTGCAGGCACACACCAATATGATGAACAGCAAAATGGCGTTTATTACACGTGAACTCTAGCTTATATAACCTATGTGCTTCGTCTACGCCCCTAAGGGCACGTGCCACACATCAATCATAGAGCAGGGAGAAGGCCTATCGCGTCACATCCCGTGGGGGGGTCTCGCAGTTGCTGACAACAGGTGGTAAAAGAAATAACAAATGTGCAAGGACAAGATGAAGTATTTTCTCAGTAATTTCTGTCTAGGACTGATCAGCAGGAATTTAGATCCTGTTGTGTTTATCTAAAACCTCCACATAGATTAAAAATTCTATTTTACTCTCTTGACATGTGGAAAAAAGAAAGTTAATGATTTCTTTAATAAATTATAGGAGCCTTTAAATTAAGGCCACATCAAGTTGTAATGAATTATTCCACAGTTTGTTGGACTTACAGTTTTAAACTTTTAAATTAGTGTGCGTGAGTTTTTCTCTTACCAGTTCTGTATTCTAATTTAAATGGAAATTGCACAAGAAGCTCTTCATCTAATTCATTTCTATGTATATATTTTGCCTCCTGGATACGGTTAAAGACAAAGACCAGCAGCAGAAATTGACAAACACTAAAGCCACATGTTACAAAGATTTATAGATAATCTTTTCATTTAATGTTCTTCAATGAACTTTTTAGTTCTCTGCCATTTAAAGAAGCAAGTATTATCACCTCCCCCCACCCCCCGCATTTGTCAATTCAGCAAAACAGAATTCACTTTTGTAGAACTTTAGAGTAAATACAACAAATTTCACAATCTATTGAAAAATAACATTTGGCTGTTGAAACTATGGGTCAAGAACTTGGGCCATAAGGTTGTGACAGTCTAGAGGAGATCTAGAGAGTGGGTGTCAAATAGATTGACAGTGCTCTTTTTGGTGATGCCCAAAGAAAGGACAAAGACGATACTCTGAATATCTACCTATCCCTTTATTTTAAGCTAGTAAAAATAAATACAAATTATACAAGAATGAGAAACTGGCCAAGTTTAACGCTATTTAATTGCTTTCCAGATACTTCTCTTTGCATACGTATAGTTTATTCTTGATATTTTCAAAAGTATTTCAAAGCATTGGTTCATATATTATTTAGTACTATAGCTCAGGAATACATCAATGTATATTCAATACATTTAGATGGGTTTTATCTTCATGATTCTTTTAATTTCAATGCAGGTAGTTAAGTCAGTTAAGTCAGCTTAACTACCTGACTGTGCTGATGCTTTGTCTGACAGATATTCTTCAATTCTGTTCCAGATTTCTCAAAGAGTGGAGAAAAGTAAATAGGAGACTACATTATTTCACTACAGTTAGTAAGCAGAAGCTTGTGTTCCTACAACAATGAACAATTATTGAAGGCAGATTGCTTTTTTATTGTTCCAAAAATCTGGCACTTGAGTACCCTTTTTCTACAAACAGTCTTCAAGTTTAGAAAACTATGTCAGACAATGTTAGCTGAAATGATAAAAAGCTCAGAAATTGTTGGCACCATCTGTTACCCCAAAAGATCTAATGTCACAGACAGAGTAAGCACACTGACTTGCCAAAATGCACATAACTCAAAATGGTAAATCCTATGGCTTTCTGAGCAGTTTGAAGGCTCATGCTGCTGTTCACAAGTGAACTGTGTGCCTGCTTTAAGCTAAGGAGCTGTTAGATGGAATCTTTTTTTTTTTTTTTTTTTTTTTTTTTAATTGGATGCTTGCAATTGGGCTTTTATTACTTGGAGGTACCTGCTTCCTTCAACTGGATTTTCCTGAAACTATATACTGCTGTAAATTATAACTATGTGAAAAGTTTTTTAAAAAAATGTACAAGCTTAATACATTTAAGATGCTAGTGAATTTAAACGTGCAATTAAACACAATATAGTCCAGCACAATAACTGAATAAAAGTGCTGTTTCTCATTTTATCCAGAAATGAAGATATGTAGACCTTTGCTGCATAAAAAACATATGGGCTGGCCTATAATTAATTATTTCTGGAGCTTAAAGTGGCCTGGTAGAAAATATATGTGAATATGTATATACATATAACATATGGATTATTCTGCAGAGCTAAGTAACCCCTCAAATTTGTCCACTGTCATTTTTGTATTTATACCCGCTTCGTAACTATAACATTTTCAAAGCCTGGAATTAAAAAACAAAAGAAAAACAAACATAATATGGAAACGTAGAGGGATAAATTCTGAACAATCTCCCTCTTGTTCTTCCTCTTCCCTCCCTTGGGAATGATCCCCACCAGCTCTTTGAGTTCATTTCAGTAGTTCTTTCTATTCAGAACCTCTAGACTGAATGCCTTAATCAATCTCCTGCCAATATGGATTTCTCCTCTGTACAGAAATACAACTAAGAAGTCCTGGAACTAACAAAAAAAAAAGCTAATAAAGGGAGAGAAAATTTCACAAAAAGGATAGAATAAGACTGCCATGTTTGCTTGCTCACCACCATCTGACAGATTTTCTTAATTTCTTACATATAATCCATAAATAACTGAATTATTTGACTAGATTAGAATAAATAATTAAGACTTAGAGTCAGCATAACTAGCAATCATAATCTGGAAACAGAATCACAGATCACAGAATGGCCAGGGTTGAAAGGGACCTCGAGGATCATGAATCTCCAAACCCTCTGCCACATGCAGGGCTACCAATCTCCCCATTTAATACTAGACCAGGCTGCCCATCCAATCTGGCCTTGAACACCTCCAGGGATGGGGCATCCACAGCCTCTCTGGGCAGCCTATTCCAGCACTTCACCACTCTCTCTGTAAAGAACTTCCCCCTGACATCCAACCTTAATCTTCCCTCCCTCAACTTAAAACCATTTCCCTTTGTCCTGCTGTTATCTGCCCTTTCAAAGAGTTTACTCCCCTCCTGTTTGTAGGCTCCCTTTAGGTACTGGAAGGCTGCAGTGAGGTCACCCTGCAGCCTTCTTTTCTTTTTTATCACAGTATGATAGATAAGTGTATCTACCAAGTGCTCAGAAATACATACATGCAAATATGTATGTTCTCTAATACCTAATTATTATCATAATGATCTATAATAAAATATTCATATTGCATTCCAAAGTAAGAACCATCATGCATCAAAATGCAGAAGTATTCAAAATGACTTTTAATTATTCAGCTTGGTCCTAACCAGCACATATTAATTTTTCAGTCTACTCTTTCTTGAAGTAGTAAAGTACATGCTTATATTACCCAAAACTATTTCAGTAGTTATGAAAGTTAAGCTGATTATAAACGGGCAAAATGGATGACAGTAGGAGTGAAAATAATTTCAGAAGCCAGCAAATCATTGCAGTTCTCAAGAAAGTAAATCTTGCCAAGAAAAAAGACTTATACACTCGAACAGCCCAACGGGGGTGTAAGTACTATGTTAAAAGCACATAATTTTCTTATAAATCCATCAATCTCCAGCAGATTTATATAATGAATTACATGACATAAACATCAGGGTGGAGGCCTGACTACAGTTTGTGCTCTGTTGATCTCCAAAGGTTCAGATGTTGCTTATGGTTCAATGGAGCTTCTAAAAGAAATAACGCCTAATAAAAGCTTTTGTGAATTATGATAGCAGTTTGAGAGTGCCTGAATTTATTCTTCCTTTCCAATAAACTTTGTATTGTTAATTTTTCCAAATGAACATTTTTTCCTAAATTAGCCATCTCTCTGCATAATGCAACTGCAGCTTTTTTAAACATATTTTTTTTAAACAAGGAAGCCCAACCAAAATCCTACTGTTTTTATTTAGACACAAGGCAAAGTCAAGAAAGCCTTTACAGATTCATGACAAGGATGAACATGGTCAGTTTGTCTAAAACGAGTATGATGTAACAGCTGTATATCTTCATTTTGCCATTGCATTTCATGTAAAAAAAAAAAAATGACAGCCAGCAACTGAAGAACAGTTATCACCTCTTTATTCACCAGAGAGTGTCAAATTGAGCCATGTTTACTTGGATAAATCCAAGTTTAGCCCAACCTGTCAGCGTACGATGAGTATATTTCTCATTGCATTCTTCCTTTGCAAAACAGAGAGGATAGATTTCAGACTGATAAATGAAATTTTCACTGTTTTCCAGTAGAAATTCACTAAGAAAATCATCCTGGATTCTTTACAAGGAAAGAGTAGAGATCTGCAGAACCATAGACACATGTCACTATTAGCTAAGCTTTATATGTCTGTATTTGAAATAGAGTAATTGAGAAAATGGCATTACAAACCATGCTTTGCTTTGTGTATTGGACAACATTTATTATTTCCATTCTGGAAATACTGTTTTGGGTAGAGTTATTTGTTGGCAAAGGCTCTCTCTGCAAATGAATTGATTTGTGAAGTCTCTTTGCCTCATGATTTTGGATAAATCAAAAGCAAAATGTTGTATGTACAACGGTACTTTACCAAAATATGAAACATAATGGACAATAATGACAATGGAAACAAAAGTTAAAAGGCATCTCCAAACAAATCTAGCAATTCATCATTCTTGGAATCTTATCTCATATTTCCAATTTCATCCCACTCCAAAGGATTGGTAAAAAATAAATTCTGTTGTAAATTACAGAAATTAAAAGAATACATTTGCACTTTTAGTGAAATATTACCTGTTAGACAAAATGTTACCTGCTCTCTCCGGCTCATCTTTGTGATTATAGAGCCTAAAATGCAAAAGATTTACCTGCTGCATCAGGGGAGATCAAAGCCAACATTTTTGTTCCTATCCTTGACTCTGAAATAGAGGTATAGGTAAGACATTCAGCTGGGGGCACACATCTGTCTTCATCTGCCTAGAAGAATCATTTGCTAGTAAACTTTTTAAACTGATATTGCAATTATAACTTGAAAAGTTATGCCAAACTTAGAACTTAAGTAATTGTTGCTGTAAAATATAATTATGTATGTGAAGGATGTAAAAAGAAAGGAAAAAAACACAACCAGTACAGCTAAAATTTTGTAACATATTTTGTAAATATTAAGATAAAAAGTTTTCACTTAAGAGATATGGAGAATTTTCTCTTAGGACAGAAAAACTTTGCAAGAGGGAGATACTATAGGAAGAACAATAATTGTATTATCTTCTTATGCATAGGCTTTATGCTGAACTGTGAAATGAATTGTTTTATCCATGTTCTTGAGCTGCATTCATCAAACATCTGACACAATGCTTATACACTGAATAATTACACTTAACTAACTTAACAGAGGAGAGACATTCATACAAGAATTAATTATTTAATGCTTGTATTCACCTTGAAAATGTAAAGCATTTCTCTTTTACAGTTGCTAGTTACTCCAGGCACTTAGAAGATTTCCTTCAGAAAAGGTGTGGGTGTGAGAAGGAAAGCAACAAAATGAAATAAATTATTCAGCAAATGTGATAGCAATACAATTATTTTACTATTTGTGGTTATTCTGTAGGCAGTTTTATGCTTATTTTAGAATTTAAAAACAAGTGCAGCTACAGCATTAAGAACTATGAATTTAATTTTTACAGCATTAAGAACTCCATTTAGTTAAAAAGTGTGGCACTAATGTTCTGTCATGTAAAATTTGATCCCAGCACCAAAAGCCTTCCTCCCACCTTCAAACAATCAGATCGAATATAAGGAAAGGAAAGAGAAAAAGAGCAACACATAACCTGCACAAGAAAAACTTAACAAAGAAACATATTTCAGAATACTAAAGTTTCCTTCAGAGACTGTCTTCCTATTTTATTCCTTTAGATGAATATAGGTTTCTTTGTACAATACTGAATCTTGAAATAGTAATGTCTTTTTAATAATGGGAGATGTAAAGGCTTGATTTAGTCAGTCTATGCATTTTTGTCATCTTTTTATTAATGTGAAATCATATATGACTTGACTATATGCTGCTGCCTACTCTTTAAAATTTGTATTGACATGAAAGGTTCTATGTAAATACCTTATCAGAATACACACTGTTTAATTGGGGCATGCTATGTCACTGTAGCTGCTTTATTGAGATGTCTCTCAGGAAACGGATTTAGCCTACTGATAGCAAATGGTAATATGGTAATAACCATTGCTTAATCAGGACAGTAATTAGCATCAGTTCTGTTTAATTGAACTGGATTTAACTGGAGTCAAGAAGTAAAGTACTGATTAACCTCCAAACTATTGATCAGTGCTCACTAATTCTCCAAAGACAGAGAATAATTACATCAATAAATGACATAAATGTCTAATTTTACAAATCAAACAGTATCTGGAAATACAGCACAGCATAAATAGTGTGCCTGCATGGAAAAAAATCATTCTGAATACATTATCTCTGTAGTCACAATTCCTTTTAAAATTTAAATTGCACATAGTTGATGGTGTTTAGCTGTTTATGGCTATCTACAGTGGCTTTTTTTCAGTACCTGTATACCAGCTGTCACTCAGTTCCACTGCAAATTTGAGTGATTGCTGAACTGCAGAATTCTGACATAGATTTTACTATCTATGAGAGTAAGAGAGTAATGATACACAGGGGCAGAAAACTTCTTGACACCTGGTCTCTTACTGTTCACAGCCTGATACTTGTAGAATTATGCCAGGGACACAGGGCTTCATTTGCTTTTCACAACTTTTTATGGCATTATATTCATGTCTCAAAATGTTGCAGATTTTCCCAAGAGCAGCAGTCGTGTGTTACAACTCTCATAATGATTAGCACCCGGGTGATTGTGTCATTCACTGTTTGATTCAAAGAGCTCAGAAAACTTCATCTTTTTATGCTCAGTTGCAGTCTTTTGTACTTTCACATACCTTTAGACTTGAGTAGTATGATTCTGTTGCTCTTTTACTGAAATTCCTGTGCAGTGATTTCCAGTCAGTATTACCGATCAAGAAATAATGGGTATTTTTTTCCCCATGTAATAATGATAACATTCTTTTGAATTTCTGTCTGTGCCTTTCTGAGTTTTTCTTCTTTGTAACAGATAAAGAGGGTCACTGGAATTGACAACCTTGTCTTATACCTATCCTCAAGTTAAACCAATTACTTTGCTCATGTTTTTTTCATGAGAGAATTTCTACTAGGACTTTACATCAATTTTATGATGTTTTCAGCAACTCCATCCTGCTGAAGTTTTCAAAAATCCAATATAATATCAAATCTGTAAGTACAATCCATGACAATACAACTTGCTTTCCTCTTGTATTCCAGTGTTTTACACACAGGATATAGAAATAGTATTCTTATGGAGACTACACTAAAATTCTGCAGCAATTTTCCAAATAAACTAAATCCACCATTATAGCATTTTTTTCTAGATAGAATGCATTAATTCATGGTGACTACCTTTGTCACATTTTTTCATTGTCTGTTTATGTTTCATATAAGCTTGTCAGGAACTTAATCATTCTGTATTCCATAGTATATTGTCCATTGACTCAGCTACTAGAAGATTCTTCTCACAAGTGTACCTTCTCACACATCACATGCATATGAACATTCTCCTTAAATTCCAGTACAGTGACTTTTATCACACTGTATATACAGGGCTGCTCTGAAAGTAATGCTTTCTATTTTATTATGTTGGCTTACAATGTCAGAGGCAGATGTTGGTGGTATAGCAGTAGAAGTGGAACCTTCCCAACAATATTTCATTACATTTTGTTGCTATGTGGCAGATGGCAGCAGAGGAGGCACTCTGACAAATTGGCATCTGACAAGTTCATACAAAGCAAAGGTCTGCCACTGCATTCCTCCATGCAGAAAAAATTTCGCCCATTGGCATTTTTGATCCTTTCTAAACATTTCTGCAGACAGAATGTGGATGTGAGCACAGTGAAGCAGTGGGTGGTGTGTTTCAGCAGCTGCGATAGCAACAGTGGGTCACCTCTGATTTTTATAAGCGCAGAATGCAGGTTCTTGTTCATAATGGAGGAAATGCATAGCTAATGATAGTGACAATGTTGAAAAAAGTTTTTTAGCTGAGAATCTTGTCTGTCAAACTATTATTTTTCGCTTTGTGTCTGTTGTAGTTTCCACATAAATAAATAAGAGGCATTACTTTTGGAGAGATCTCTGTAAACCTATTTAAGAATCTACATATTTAAATGTTATATTGTTAGATATAAAATAATGCAAGAATGAACACAAAAATTCTGGCTAATTTTCTCAAAAATTGTTTAGGTTCTTAGTATTGCAAGTATGTAGGTCACTCTGAAAGGAGCAGCCCTTGTACCTCAAAATATCTGGTAGACCTCTCAAGTATATGCACTGTAATGCTTACCTTCAATGTCTTTGCCACCAAAGCTGGCTAAGAAATAGAGCAAATACTAGATGTACTATTTTGGAATTTTTTTATTGAGAGTTCTTCATAAACAACGGGGGCAATAAACCAAATTATTCAACTGCTTAGCACTGGCTATTTTTTTTTTACTACAATGGCTAACCTACCAACACTGAGCTAAAGTTATTTGGAATGGAAATGTCTGCTGATGAACACTGATATGTCTATTATCTTCCTGGCTTTAGGGTGAAGGCGTAGACATTTCTCTAGTAGCCCAAACTATTCTGGGAATCTACTTTCTTTTGCATTTCATTCTGTTTGATTTTCAGGGAATGTGTAAGAGAATCAAAGCATTTCCTTGAAGATAGAAAAAAATTGACTTTAAATTAAAAACATAATGGTAACTCTAGTTTATCATACTCTCTTCTTGAGTAACTGTCATTGTACTCTCTCTCACATACACTTTGGCAAAGCAAATGTGCTTTACCACACTTCCCAGCATGAGTAATATGTAGTTAATCACTTCCACTACATGAAAATCCTATTCATCAGCAGAGGATACTGCAGACCCAGTAAAATTAGCATGGAACCTACTAAGTCATTCCACAATGTCCTGGTTCAAATTATCTGTATAAAATAACTTTCCCTGAGTTAAAACATTAATAAACAAACTACATTGAAAAATAAGTTTCACTGTGGATGAATATGGCCAAAATACTTGTAAAAATAATTTCAGTGTTCTGTTTTACCCTATTTAATTATTTGTGCCAGTCTTAACTGTAATCAATTTCCCAATTACTGAACCAATTGCTATTTCTAACACACACTACAAAACCTTATAGAATGTTGCAAAGAAAAATGTACAGAAATAATTAGTACTAGACTCTGCTAGAATAGGCTGTGATCAGTATCTGTAGACAGAGTGGGTGACATGCAATCATCTGCAAAATGATTTGCCAAAAATTCCAGAGATTAATGCATTCAAATTCAGTGTGCTTTTCGTCCTATTAAAAGTATGATAAGAACTCTAAGCACATTTTCTTCGTTTTGGTCTTTTAAAATTTAGTTTCTTTCCTTTAATTTGTTCCACAGATATTGTTATTTTCCATTAGTATGATGTTCTTTCTCACTTTCTTTCCTTTTTCTTTCCGTTTTGTTTATGATCTATTCCATCAGGTAAGTTTACTATTCAATCAAGATACTATTTGCTGTTCATTCTTTGTATGAAATACCCTCCCTCCACTAATTGCTTTACTCATTTATGTTTCTCACTTCTTCATGTTTTTGAGTCAGAAATCTTTTGTGATTCTCAGGCACTTCAAGAATTAGGAACAAAAATATGTATATATAGGAAAGGTGTTCAAACGAATTTCTTTTTGAATTTATTCTGGTATTAAATGAAACTTTTAGCTTGAAATAAACTTTTAGTTTGCGTAGGTTTTGAACATCTGTACAAAATATTTGTCTTCTGCAGAATATGGCATTTGTATCTGAAAAATTAACTGTTACTTATTTTCATTAATAATTCTTAAGCAGAGTTCACCACATTAGTGCCTATGGATGGAAATTTAGAATTAGTGGTACTCAGGCAATAGAAAGATATTTCTCAGTATTCAGAGTGTCAAGAGACATATTTCTGAAAAATTCTTCTTATAGATTGCAAATGCTTGTAAACATCTGGGTTTTCAATAACTTTTTATTTACATATTTGAAGTTTGTCTAAGGGTATAAATTCCAATTCTGTCAAATATGAAAGTCAGGCTTTGTGATTACACAAAGGTGGATAAACAGTTTAGCTCACCAAGAGCAAAAACAATCACCAAAATTACACCCACACATCCCTTTGATTTTTGAATACTGGATTTGAAAAAAAGCTCTAGCAACAGTAGAAGAAACTGTCTCTAGTTTTGACAGTGTGCTTATCCACTGAAAACTATATACAAAATATAACCCTAAATTTCAGTATTTAAGAATCTATATTGACCATATAGTATATCACTGCAAATATTTTTATCTGATTTTTATTTTTCTGACATGAATTAAAAAATAATGAATATGCTTGCATACAGG